AAGAGATCTTAAGAGATCTGAACCTGAGAAGATGTCTGGACCTGTGCCAATGAGTCCAAGTACGGCGCCAGACAGCACTGTGAGTCAAGGAAGTGCGGCCAGTGCTCCTGCAGGAATGGTCTCAGGAAATGATGGGGCTGTCAATGCAGGAACAACACCTGTGTACCACATGGGAGATCCTCTACAAGGAAGTGGTGACCCATGGGCAGGCACAACACCTTGGCTGAGCTTTTCCCCAGGGGTTACCTCTGCTGCTTTACCAAGTACTCCAATGGGATTGCCAAGCCAATCCAGTCCTGGAGGGAGTGGGCAGAGTGGCAATACTGCCACATTTGGGCTGCCACCAGGGTTTTTGGATCCTGGAACAACACAGGCACCCACTCCAGCAGTAGACCCGGTGATGGCACAGCTGCTGCGCCAACAGATGTTGCCTTCTCAATAGGTCAGGGCCTGGACTTTCTCAACAACAACAGCCAGTGCAGCAGACACCAACAGTAGCACAAAGCTCTACTGCACAGTCTGAGCGGTTGACAATGGACACAAAGTGGATTCCAGCAGCACCACTGCCTGACTGGAAGTCTTGGAACAACAGGGCAAAAGAGTTAGCTGGTTTCAAGGGTTGGTTAGAGAAGTTTGCATCATGACTGTGTCTTGTCCATGATAGCTATGGGTAAGAGCTCAAGGAGGCCATGAACTTGCCACACCCTGTGGTGACAGTGAACCAAGACCAAGCAATTCGAAGCCGTCGATTGTTTCATTTGCTCCAGCAGAGTTTTTCTGGATACTCGAGGGTAGACAACGTGGTGAAATCTCAGATTGCATTCTATGGCATTCAGGAGGCAAATGGTTTTGAGCTTTTGAGATTGCTGCGCAGGGAGTTCAGTTTGATGAGCCGTCCAGAGGCGCTGCAATACAGAGAAGCCTGCCTGAAGTACACGGTGAAGAAGTCAGAGAGACATCTTCTTATGGATGTACTGAGAGAGATTGGGGCTGAGATCGAAGGATTTCACTCTATGCTGGAAGCTTCACTGATCGCTGGTCAACTGACTGACTTGCGCATCACTGAGGGGGATCAATACCTTCTCTACCTGAGAAACCTGCCAGACAAGGTAGCAGAGTTTGTGCAGCTTCACTGTGGTTCAACGACAGTGGCCAGAGTTTGGGAGTCTGTGGTGGCATACCACACACGTATGAGACTCACCAATGACCTGGACAGCAAGGTGCATGTGGCTACAGGGCCAAAGCAGGGCCCTGAGGGCATCACTTGCCACAATTGTGGCAAACGTGGACACATGGCTCGTGATTGCCCACAGCCTGTGAAATGCAGCCATTGCGGCAAGTCAGGTCATGCAGCTAAGGACTGCTGGGCCAAGGATCCCAGCAAACGACCTGGAGCTTCCTCAACACCCAAGCCTGTTGCAAAGGCCAAGGCAAAGCCTGCTGCAAAGAGCAAAGTGGCAAAGGTCGAGGGAAAGGAGGAAAGTTTCGAGAAGTTGAAGAAGGTGAAGAGCCTTGTGAGGCTGAGGAGTCTCAAGAACCAGAAGTTGAGCAGGAGGGTGGAAACCAGGCTGCTATGGTAGTCAAATCCTTTGCAGTGAAGACTGGATCAGATGCTGGTGGGCCAAAGGGGGCCACAGGGACATCGAGTGCTGAGAGACCGGTGACACACCACCTGAGCAGCACACTGGAGGTTTTGTAGGTAGTGTAGGGATAGGAGATCCTAAGACCTGCTGGCTGGTAGACTCAGGGGCTACATGCCACATCGTTTCTGAGAAGTGGGTCAAGCACTACACTGTGAGTTTTGAGTATCCTGGTCCATCTCCAAGCTTGAAGGGTGCAGGAGACAATGATCTGCCTGTCAAAGGGGTTGTAGATCTGGAATTCGTAGGTAAGACGAAGATTACCATGAAGCGTGTAGTAGTGGTAGGAATTCCTTTGAATGTGATCTCAACTTACGCCCTTTTGGAAACTGGTTGGAAGACCGTCCTTGGCAATGCTGAGGAGAGTGGATTGTTTTTGAAGAAATTGAAACTTCCTTTGAAGATTTCTGAGAGAGCATGGTGGCTGAAAGTCAGTTTGCTTTCAAAGCACAAGAGTGGTGTGAAGGGTTCTGGACCAGCACCGATGGACTTGAGCACCACGAACACTGGAAACACTGTGAACACTGACAGCACTGAAACGAAACAAACCAAACGAAACACTTGTTGTGGTTGTAGTTCAGTTGCAGCAGTTGTCCCTGAGGATGTTGTGGCTAAGGACCTGGTAACTAAGGGAACTAAGGACACTTTGACTAAGGACCCTGTGAATCATGTTGCCACTCAGGAGGTTGCGCAGGTCACCAAGGGTAGGTCAGGAGGTTCTGCCAAGGTCAAGGTCAAACGTCGGGAGCTTCAGATGAGAAGAGTGCAGACATGTTGCAGTCGTTTTCCTATGTTTGTAGGATGTTTCATTTTGGAAGCAGTCGCCTTTTTCAGCATGTTTTTGATGAACATGAGCCCAATACCATTGAAGCAGACGTTTTGTTTAAGACAAACGTTGAAACAAACGATGAAACGACAGACAGTGAAGATGATTTCATGTCATGTTGTGCATCTGAAACGACAGACAGTGACGATGATTACATGTCATGTTGTGATTTTGAAGAGTTTTGTCAAGAAGACCATGACACATCTGGATACATGGAGTGGAAATACCATGAAGGGAGGACAGGTTCAGGTCAATCTGATCGGAAATGCAGGCGTGGCTGGACGGTTGTGGACCCTTGTTTTAGGATGATGCGTGGTTTTCCTCAGGTGGAGGACTTGACACAGGATGAAGTTGATGACAGTGATGTCATGGGTGATGGACCTCAGGCAGGTGAGGTTTCTGAAGTTGGTTCCCCATCACTTGCCAATTCAGAAGATTTGGAGGGTTGGGGTCCCCATGAACCTGGTTTGCCAGAACGCCCAGGCACACCAGATGGTCCAGAGGGATCAGATCTGGAGTGCAGTGTCCCTGAATTGGGTGATGGACGTCTCAGGCTGGAACATGAGTGCAGGGGCCATTGGCCTTATGACAGGGGATGTGATGATTGCGTGCAGTCAAGAGGACGCACACCTGCTAGGAGAGTAGGTCATAAGCATGAAACACCCCACAGTCTTGCTGCTGATTTCCTTTTTGTAGCAGGGAAACATTGGAAAGTTCTGGTCCTGTTGATGGTTCACACTGGGATGGTTGGCATGGTGGTTTGTGGTGGTGACAAAGAACGTGACGTGCAGTCCACTGCAGCAGTTCTCAATGAGATTGGTGTTGGAGGGTTGTCTGTAGAAGTAGCTACTGACAATGAGGCAGCACTGAAATCTTTGGTTGAAAGAGGCCTTGCAGCTAGTTCAGCACGAGGCTATCACTGGAGAAACATTTCAGAGGCAAGACCCCAGGCAAAAGGCATCGAGAGAGCCGTTTGCATCATGAAAGAGGGGATCTATGCCAATTGGTTGGCACTTGAACGCCATTGCAATGCCAGGATTGCGTTGGAATCCCCCCTTTTTGGGATATTTGGTGGGACATGTCTACAGGACGTACAACGCATACTGTGAGGGAAAGGCTGGGAGCACCCCCTTAGAACGTTTGAGAAAAACGGGGAGGTCAGGCACCTAGGTCTTATCCTTTTGGGGCAGTTGGGTTTTTGAAACCAATTCACCCTTCAAAATGGCCTGGTCAGCGTTTGGTGTTGTGTCATTTTCTCGGCATGAGATATGTGACTGGTGGAGGTTGTTTGGGGTACCCATTTTCTGTTGATGCTGAAGGGTATCGTGAGGTGATCAAGCAATGTTCTGCTTTAGCAGATAATGCTTTATCTGTAAGCAAACCTATTGGAGGGTGGGGACAATATGTTGTCAACACACTCCGTGCTCGTTGCGCCTGCCTTTTGTCTCGCTCCTTCGTTACTACAACACGCCTGCCTCTCCTCTCATGCGCCACGCGTCTCTCGCCCACGCGTTAACTACTTTGCTTAAACGGCCAGAGGTTGTTGACCTTGGGTTTTTATGTTTGGTGTTTTTGTTACACCTGTTTGACAAAGTTATTCCTGCGGTGGAACATGTTTTGTCTAAAACAGTTGTGCATGTGTTGAGTTCAATCATCCTTGACTGACTTCTTGGTGTTTGTAAAAACACACCTTGTGAATTATTTTGTGTACCAGTCAAATGTTTGAAAACAACTCAACCTAAACAACGGAACTGTTGGACAAATCATCCAGGGAACACACTTGAATTATTTGTTATGTTGTGCCCTTTTGGGTCAAGTGTGTTGGGGGCGTTATGTGCTGCCATGCGACCACGTGGACCCATTGCTAAGGGACAAGTTGCTTTCAGGAGCTACATCCTGTTGCCTTCAGGTGTCGCATCGCCACTGGCTTCAAGACCTTGGTGCTGTAACTGTTGTACCTTTGCATTGGGTTTTTGGTGTGGTTGCATTTCCATCATCCTCGTGCTGTACAATTTCCTTTAGCACATGGACCAACTTCATTTGCGAACACTGACAGAGCTTTTACAGATTTTACTTGCTGTGGTCATTGAGTTGGTGCGTCGATTCGGTTTTGTAGCCCCTGGGACTCCTGAGCCGCCACAATTGGAAGTTTTTTGTGTGCAGCCCTGCTATTTTTGCGGTCTTCAATGTCGCAAAGAGCGAGCCCACCGGGGTCGCCATCGTTGCCACCAACACTTGAACCTCCCCTGACTCCCCAGTTTTTTCCTGAATTGCAAGGTGGGGTTTTGGAGAATGGTTCAACTGGGGGCAGAGACATCGATGCAATTTCAACTGATGAGATTCCTACACAGCTGGATGGAACTGTTGAACTGTCAGGAATTTATGAGTTGAATGATGATGTACCTGGTGGACAACCGTCATTTAGTAGTGGTTTTGGGTTTTCTGGAACGTTGCCTGATGACATCTTTGACAGTTTCGGGTTGACCGCTGATGACAGGTTGGATTTGGACACCAGCAGATTGGAGAAGGAATCGATGCAGGTGGACGAGACGTCTGTGGGCGTTACACCTAAGTTCACTGCAGCCAGATGCGCGCTGAACCTATCAGAAGATCAGCCGAAGTTTTTCTGGGAAACGGATCCTTTTCTGAAAACAATTTTTGGACATGATGATTTGACTCCTCCTGCACTCAAACGTCCTGACATTCCAATTGACATCACTAGCGTGCCTGCTGACAATGTGTGGGACTATTTGCAGAGACCAAAGCGACACGCGGCTGGGGGTCTCTGCTCAGAGGTGATCAGACATGTGGAACTCAGGGACGAGCAAGACAAGAGAGCCAGTGTGATTTCTAACTGGTCCAGTCTGGTATGCATTGACTTGGATGCTTTCTCAGTCGGAGATGCTTTGGCAGTGAACCCTGATGGGACTACGCATGCTGACGTTGAGAGCAGCTTGCAAGCTTGCTTTGCTAGGAAGGCTACAAGCACGTTAAGCAAGAGGTTCTATGCTTTGAACAAGTTCGTGAATCATTGCTGCAGGCATGGTTTGCAATTTTTTCCAATACGTGAACATGTGGTCTTTACATATCTGCAACAGCTGAATGGAGATCCAGCCACTGCTCCTTCAGCAGGGCGTTCACTGTTGGAGGCCGTGCGGTTTGCTAACGGCGTCTTGGGCTTGAAGGGTGACATTGGAGAGCTTGGCACTACAAGGATTGATGGTCTAGCGGTTGAATTGACCAAGCGAGCGGGGCCCATCCAACAGGCTGCTCCCTTATCAGTACAACAGGTGATGTTGCTTGAGAGGCTTGTGGCTGAGTCTGAAGATTTGCAGGACAGGGTCACTTTCGGTGGCATGCTTGTTCTGCTTTATTCATGTGGAAGATTTTCAGATGGGCAGAGGGCCATCAACATGATTCTTGATTGTGATTTGGGAACGCTGGATATAGACGCCATTGAGTGTCAGGGTTACCTGGAGCTGCAAGTCCTTGGACACAAAGGTGCAAGGAGTGACATCTTGAAGAGGACCTTCCTGCCGCTAGTGGCTCCCATTTATTCATTGGCGTCAGTGGATTGGTTCAGAGCTTGGGTGCATGCAAGGGAGGCTCTTGGTCTCACGATCGGAGGAAAGCCCAACAAACCTTTTTTGTGCAGGTTCAGACCGAGCGGCGAAGTTATGGATCAAGAGCTCACCTCAGCAGAGTGCAGTTCTCTTCTGCGCCGGGCATTGAAGTTGACTGGGGAGCAAGCTGCCGCCATCAAGTCACATAGCTTGAAGACCACTGCGTTGTCTTGGTGTTGCAAGCATGGTGTCGACATTCATGCACGCAGGCTGTTGGGGCATCACTTGGACCCCAGTGTGAAGTCACCTGAGACTTACGGGAGAGATTCCATGGCGCCCGCAGTGAGGATGTTTGAGGGCACTCTGGCTGACATTAAGCGTGGGCGATTCAGGCCTGATGAGACCAGGTCAGGTCGCTTCGTGAAAGCAGCAGAGGAGCAACCTGCAGCAACTGAGCGAGACGAGGAGGACGATGACTCTGACAGTGACGAACTATTTCTAACATCGTTAGACATATCTTTATTTTAAATCTGTGAGATCGGAAATTCCCTTAAACTTATTTTATTTCCGTGGCCATGGCTCAAGAAATTTCAAGAACCAAACATTGATCTCTTACATTTGCAGTGAAAATTTTTCTTTTTGATGCCATGAGAGACAATGGTGATGATGCCTTCGGGGAACCTTTGTCGCGCGTTGATCGACCTGTTCATATTTCTCCAACTTCTACACCTTCAGTTCCTACAACTTTGGTGACCAACCCTATTTCCCCGACTACTGGAACGTCTTCGTCTACTTCGACTCCTTTGGATCTATTCATTTTCTCTGTTCAACGTGCCTTAGATTCCGGCTTATCCAAAGAGACTTTGATCGCCAATATCTATCTGATCTCAGACGAACGTTCGACAACTGTCCAACCACCCAGTAGTGATGAATTCTTCTCACAGTAAATCTCTGATTGATCAATTGGTCCGTCGATTGACTTACATATTCAGAGATATTCTTTGTCTGAGACTCCCTCTTTCCCTCTCTCGATCGATTGATCTCGTCAGTTGACAAACACCAGGGAAATTGAGGATTAACGCGTTTCAAACAAAAAAAAGCGATCTGTCATGGCAATTTGCCACTTTGCCTAACCATTTGCATCAATTTGTTGCACAACCCAACTTCTTTATATCATATACTCACTCATCAAGTTCTTAAATTTCTGTCCCGCTGCCATTTGTTGAATTTCTTTACGGCCCAAATCGCAGCACCTTTTTCTTGCCGACGTGGCTGTCTCAATTCAGTGATTTTTGCATTGTCTTCGTCGAAATGATTCATTCACAATTCACATCATACAATTGTATTGGTCTCTTTAATTCATTCACACATTCTTGACAGGTTCATGTCCCTGGCTTCTTGATCCTCGACGACTTCCGTCAGGACCGTGTTGCAGTTGCAACTCAAATTCAATTCTTTCTCCATTGCCATTTCATTGCCATTTGGCCATTCAGTTGACATCAATTGATTGCAATCATTTTGGCATTTCAGATTGGAAATCTGATCGATCGATTGATCACTTTTTCCATCAGCCCCGGTGGCTCAATTCTCCCCCCCAGTCGCTCTTTCGCGCATCTTCATATTGCCATTTTGGGTCATTTGGGCCATTCGATTTGGGCCATTCAATTTTCTGGATTTCAATTTGATCTTTTCTGGATTTCAATTTGACCTTTTCTGCAAATTCGAATTTCTGTGTGACGATTGTCACTTCAGCGCAGCTACAATTTACAATTCGCAATCTTTTTGACTGTCAATTCTGGAACTTCTTGGCATTTTGCTCTGGCCTTCATCTTTGACTTGATCATCTTTGTGCAAAACATCATCTCGACCTTTGGAAGCGATGTCATCCAATGTGCCTTCACCATGTACGCCGCCGAACCCTCCAGGGATGCCTCGTCTTGGAAATCAGACGCTGGAGCAAAAACGCAATCAGGTCTGGGGGTGGTATGCTACTATGTGTGCAGCCTTTACATTGCCTTCGCTGCCATTGAGCCTGTCAGAGATCTACTCCGAGGCCACGAGCAGTTTCTCGATGCCATCCTGGTTGCAAACTGGCGGAAATGCTCGAACAAGCTGCCAGAAGCTCTATGAGCTTACCCAGGGATTGGATTTCCGTCTCAGCTTCAGCATCAACCAGATTGCCGAGAACTTCAGCTGGGTGCGTTCTCAACTGTGGACCATTTCACAGTCCATTCGAGATCTTCTTCGCCATCTTGCAAAGCTTGAGATCCTCATCGCGGTCCTGGATTCATCATTGGAGCGTTTGGAACAGCAGGTGCATCAGCTCCTTTTCCAGCCCATGCAGGCTCGGATCAAGCCAAAGGCTAAACCCCGTGGTTCTGCTGACAAGGCGCCATCTAAGAAGAGAACATCCAGCTTCAGGCAACGCGTCGCCTCAAAGAAGAAGACGAAGGAGATGGAAGCAATCTTGGCTAGATTGGAGTACCTGGAACAACGGGATGCTCAGCATGATATCTTGGGACGAAAATTCAAAGCCTTCGCAGCCTCCCTTCACGAAGTCGAAGATCAGCTGGACAAACAGGGGATCAAGGTTCGCAGATTGAATCAGATCTGCAGAAACTCGGAAAGGCTGCTGAGGCAGAACGGCCTTCTGGCCGAAGGGGAGGACATGTCAAAGACCAGCTCCTCTGAAATGGAATGAGTAAAAAAAGGGGTTTGTCGCTGCTCTGTTTCCTTGTCACTTTCTTCTCACGTTGTGATGTTATTTCATTTTTGCATGTTCACTTTCTTTTTCTTGCTTGTCATACTTACGTCGCAGTTGCTTGTTAATCCCTGGCAGGACCTCCTTCTTCAATCTTCTTCGTCTTCGACATCTTCGACACCTTCGTGGAGTCATTGATCAGCCTTCCGTTTCACGTGATTAATCTACAAAACTTCCAATTGGCTTTTCATCAATTGATGTCAATTTTCAATTTGCATCATGCTTGCTTTTAATTTCAATTTCATCTTGCTTGACAGGACCACAATTGTGGCCCTCTGGATCATCGACCACTTGGTCTGTGCACAATTGTGCAAACATCTCTCAACTCAATTTCTTACAACCTCCAATTCTTCTTATTCGTCTAGGCTCAATTCCAAAATGGATTCTTCATTCCGTATTGAATTTCGCACAGGTCGAGCCACCGTTGAACGCCATGGTTCTCGTCCTGTCATTCAAATGCCTTGGGAGCGAGGAATTTGGAGACGTATTTTCAACCCTCACCCATCCCCCCTCTCAATTCTCAGTCATTCCATTCCTCTCGATACATTCTCATCTCAATCATCTTTCGTCCCAAATTCTTCCTCAAATCTCTTCTCAAATTCTTCGATCAATTCACATTTCAATTCCAATTCACCTTCCTTCTCCAATGAGGCAATTTCCTCTATCAATTCATCTTCCCCTCCTTTGAATGCTCCTACACAATCTTTCTGGTCTTCTTTCTTTGGCTATTCTGATCTTCAACAAGGACGTTCTGATGGACTTCGTCATCTTGCAATTTCAAGGTTTATATCTATGCTGGCCTCCACCTCAGGATCAACTTTGTTCATGTCTTCATCAGATCCATGGGACTTACATGACAGTTTTAGCGCTGCATTGTCGATGAAGGCTACAAGTACCATCGTCAAACGATCCATGGATCTTCTTCGTTTCAAATCCTGGTGTGATCTACATGACAAACAGTTCATCCCATTTTCAGAAAATGTTCTCTGGCAGTTTCTTCGTGATTTACAACATTCTGCTAAACCATCTGGTTTACAGTCGATCCTTCAATCAGTGAACTTTGCCATTCACGTTCTCGGATGCCAATATGAAGGAATTTCACTGGCTTCAGTACGAATCAAAGGCATCTGTGCAGGCCACAAGGCTCTTGCCTTACAAATCAAGCATGCACCACCACTCTCAGTCGATCAAATTATTCATTTGGAAACGCTGTGCTGCTCCTCTTGTGATCAGTATTTGAAGCTTCTCTATGGATCTATTTTGATTGCCTTATATGCACGATCTCGATGGAAGGACATACAAGGAGCACATTCCATCGACTTTGATCCAGATTCTTTTGCACCGCAATACATCGAGCTACCATCTCAACATTTCAAAACTGCTGCCATGCTGGCCAAGAAGTTGCACTTTTTACCAATTACGGCTATTGCTTTCTCCATATCCGGACAACCTTGGATTCATCATTACATTCAAGCTCGTCGCCATTTGAAGTTACCAATATCAGGCAAACTTTCTTCACCATTTCTCCCTGTCAAAGCTGATGATCAATTATCCAATGAGCCTGTCACTTCTTCTCAGATTACGAAGTTACTACGAGAACTTTTCCAGAATGATCTTGTCCGTTCACATTCCTTGAAGCATACCTGTTTGAGTTTTGCAGCCAAAAGAGGTCTGGACCCACACATTCGAAAATTATTGGGATATCACCTGGACAGAAGTGAAGTCACACTGGCAACTTACAGTCGTGATCTTCTTGCCGAACCTCTACGACAACTCAAATTTTTACTTGTAGAGATACAGACCGGCATCTTTCTTCCAGATTCCACCCGTTCAGGTTACTTCCCAGATACATCAATAGATGAAGCGCCAGCCAAAGCTGATCCAGATGAATCTGTGTTTGAATTTCCGCATCTTGATTCTGAAAGTCATCAGGTTGCACCATATGCTTCAGAACCACAAGATGAAGTACCTGCTGACACCGAAGAGCTCTTCGGCCACGAGTCGTCATCTTCATCATCCTCATCTTCTTCGTCTTCATTCGTTGACGACGAAGACCAGGTTGATATTGTGCCTGATTTTCCTTCTTCATTACACAACAAATGTTTTCAGCATGTGGAGAAATTTCTCCCTGTCAAACATAAACAAACTCATCGTTTACACCTTTTGGTGAATGCTGAACATACAAGACTGATTTGTGGCAGAGCACTTTCACAGACGTATGAACGTCTTGACCATTTCCCTTCACACCCTCTGCCGACATGTGTTCAATGTTTCGCCAGCAAATTAGTTGGCTCATATGACGAATGCTGATCGAAAAAGCAGGTGTGCTTGATCATGATGCATTCTCATGACCTTTGCAATTTTCTTTCCTTTTCTCTTTCATTTCCTTTCTGCAAATTTCCTCTCAAGATCTCCCATTCGAACATTTGGTTCTCTGAGCGAATTTTTCTTTGAAACATGGCACTTCTGGATAGCAAAGCCCAATTTTCTGCAAGAGCCAGAGAGATTGGACTCTCTACTCCATGTGTGAATTCCCTCCAAGTACATGGCATCGATTCTCTCAGTTCCATGGCCTTTGCTGTCGGAACTACGCCAGGAGAATGTTCATCGCAAGACTTCCAACAATTCATTTTGGACAAGAACATCGTTCTTGAGGGGTCGGATGAGTTCCTTGTGAAGAGGTTGATTTTTGAGGCACAGACCCTCTTTATGACAACCATTCAATCTCAAGTGCTATCAGCAGGTTTGCCTGGAGGATCCGACTCAACCACCAAGAAGCTTCCACCGGTTGAGCGACAAGCACGAATCCTTGAACAAAAGCAACGTCTAGTTGGTGTGATCATTCAGGGCGAAACCGAGCCATCATTTGAACTTATCGATTTGGCATATGCGATGATTGAGTCCAAATCTATCAAATTTATTCCACCTCATCGCTGTACCAAGAGAGATACAGAGCTCGTGGAAAATATCAGTAAGGATAAGGAAGTCCTTACCATTGAGCAGGGTCGCCTTACATCTAAGAAATCATCGTTGCCAAATACCTCAACTTCAGATGCTTTGAAGCTCTCCAATTGCTTTCTTAGACGAGCCCTAGCTTTGGATCTTGCTCAAGTTACTTCCTTCTCCCAGATCAACAAGTACCACCAATTGCTTCTTGCTCAGCTCTCAGTCAAAGCTCCGACTGGTTATGTTGCGGCCAGCCTTCAACAGATCATCCAAGCTGACAAATTCTTTTGGACCAAGCTTGCGGAGAAAGTTGGCATTGAGGTCTCGCCTCAAACAGTGGACGTCTTCATCCAAGAGATCATGGTCAGCCCAGAATTTTCTCTCCATCTACTTCCTCGCCCTGAAGCTCCTTCTGTGGCTCCATCTCCGAAGGCTACTGCACCTTCGTCCTATGGCAAGAACTCCGATCGACCTCGTTCAGAACGTGACGGACCCTACAAGGGCAAGACTTCGAAAGGCAAAGGCAAAGGCAAAGGCAAACCGCCTTCTGTCTCCATGCCTGTACCCCTTCGCGGTTTGAACCCGCGCGCCCGTGACAACAAACCGAAATGCTTTGATTTCAACATGAGCCATGGGTGCCCCAACAAAGACTCGTGTTCCAAAGGTGATCATTCCTGTATGTCATGGTCGTGTGGCGACGCCAAGCACTCCTACCAAACATGCCATGCCAAAAACAAGAAGCCTGGCCAGAACCAGGCTTGACTATCTTCTCCTTGCTCAGAACATACACAGCCGATGCATGAAGAACCATTGCCCTCGAAGCCAGTTGCAGGTTCACATCCGAATTCACCAGCAGCCAGCAGAATGCCATCCATCGGTGAGCTCCTCATCATTGAAGTATTTGCTGGGTCGTGCAACCTTTCCTCAACCCTTGTAAAGTTTGGCTTCCAGGCCATTGCGGTTGACCATACACAGTCTCACCAGTTTCGCGTAATGCAATTGGACCTTACCATTCAGCATGACCAATCTTTGTTATTGGATCTTATCCGCCATCAAAAGCCTTTTCTTGTTTGGATGGCACCTCCGTGCGGTACAGCATCACGGGCCAGAAATATCCCTGCAAAGAACAGGTTCGGCAAGGCTTTTGCAAGTCCATTGAGATCTGACCTATGCCCAGATGGACTACCAGATCTTACTGGCATGGACCTCGAACGGGTCTTGTCAGCTAATTCTCTTTATGAACTTTGTGAACGTATTGCATCTCTTTGCGACCTACTTGGCCTCTATTGGGTGATTGAGAATCCCTTTGATTCTTTATTCTGGTTTACTTCTTGGATCTCTCAACGACATCAAAATTTCCCCAAAATTCTGCTACACAATTGTATGTTCGGTGGCTCTCGCCCGAAACGCACTGGCTTATTAGCAAATTTTGACCTTACGTCTTTGGCAATTCTATGTGATGAAGCTCATGAACATGCTCCTTGGCGATCTTTCTCTGAAGATTCTATTCATTTTCATACGGCTGAAGAAGCAGCATATCCCCCTCAACTCTGTTTTGCAATCGCTTCTCTCATGTCTGACATCGCTCTTCATCAAAACTTTTGTCTACCGCCATCTCACATTTTCGATTTTGACACAAGCGACTCACGTCATGCTCGACATCTTCTTCGAGGATCAGTTGGCATTCAACCTCGTGGTGCTCAATTTTCTTTCTTACCCTCGTCTTTTCAAGATCTTTGGGTTGCCCAATCTGAGTTACCTGACATCTGTAACACTGTATTCCAAATGACAAACTTCATTCTCCTTTTCTCAAAGGGACTGTTTTTCCTCCTGAGCTTCAGTTTGATGATGGGTCGTCTTCAAAAACTCAGTATTCAACTCGGACAGATGATTCACGAAAGATGAAGGTACTTGTTCCGATTTCTCCATGTACCTATCTACAGAAGTTGGCAGGGACAAAACATCCGAGCCAAATTGATTCCTCCTCTTGGGGTTGGTATTCTCAAGCCATCGAAGACATGATATCAAAGCCTCAAGACGAATATCTGAGGGAACAAGCACAAACTCTGAAGTCTATTTTGGATCGGGCGAAAGAGCTGACCAATTCAGAAAGGAAGCGCAAGCATAACTGTGATGATGTCGTCAAGGCCATCAATTCGAAGAAACGTCTTTGCCTTCTTGAAGAGCTGCTGTCTTCGATACAACATCCAGACGTGGACATCGTTGGGGATCTGGAAGCTGGTTTCAGATTGACTGGCTGGCTTAACCCATCTGGGCTTTTCACAAGACAAACAACGCCTCCACAGATCTCGAAGTCTACTCTTGAATCGCTTTCTCCCTTTCTCAATCAGTCTGCGATCTTCAGGTGTGAACGGAACTCTTCTGGAGAGTTGGCCTTAGATCTCCTGGAGATTACGTTGGAGGAAGTCCAGAAAGGCTGGATTGTTGGGGAAGTCAATGTAGAGGACCTTGACAAAGGAGATGTACTGTCACCAAGGTTCATCATCCAGCAGGGTGACAAATCCAGAGCCATTGACGATTTCTCCTTTTCAAGTATCAATGCAACCATTGGGTCCACTGACAAGATTGCGTTACAAGGAGTTGACGAGATTGCAGCCCTGATTAAACGCCTGATGGGTTCAGGCATCGACGATCTGCTGGGTCGGACGTACGACATGGAGGCCGCTTACCGCCAGCTTCCTATTCATGCAAGTGAGCGGGGGAAAGCGATCATTTGCGTTTATGATCCCAACATGAAGAAGCCAAGACTTTTTAAAATGGTAACTATGCCGTTCGGCGCTATTGCTTCTGTTCATGCGTTTTTGAGGACAGCAGCAGCCATCAACAATATCTGCTGTACTCTCTTAAAGGTCCCAGTCACCTCATACTTTGACGACTTCTCAGTCGTCACGAGGGAATCGTTGGCCAAAGGTACTGACCTGGCCATAAGGACGATTTTCGAAGTCCTGGGTCTCAACCTCAGCACCGCAGAGAAGAAAAACCGAGACTTTGCTCGAGTCTTCAGTGCTTTGGGCGTTGCATTTGACTTGCACAAGATGCCTGACGACTCTTTTGAGATCAAGAACACTGATCAACGAGTTGAAGATCTTGTTAAAAGGATTGAATCAGTCCTCTCCTCCGGCAAGATATGTGGTCGTGATGCGAAGGGTCTAAGGAGTAGACTCAGCTTTGCTTGCTCGCAACTGTACGGTCGGACGGCCGCATCCGTACTAAAAGACCTGGGAAGGTATGAGTGTCAAAAGCACTCTAAGAGGATAGATCCAAACACAAGGAGACTTCTTGAGATCATGATCTCGCATCTGAAGATCGGGATGCCGAGGAAGGTCTTTTTCGGACGGTCTGAAGTAGTACATGTCTTTACAGACGGATCCTTGGAGCCAGCTGGTGACTCGGATTCTGTCGCTGGGGTCGGTGCTGTCTGAGTGAATGAACGTGGAGATTGTCTTAAGGCCTTTTCATTTTCGCCTACCCATGACCAAGTTCAAACCATTGGCGGGAAGATTCATCAATTGGAGATTCTGCCGGTCATCATGGCTTGCATTGCCTTTGAGGAAGAGTTAAGGTCGAAGCGCGTGTTCTTCCACGTCGACAACTCTGCGGCACAATCGGCTTTGATCAATGCCGGCTCCATCAACCATTCTTCAAGATCTCTTGTCTACCTTTTTCTTGATCTGGAACAGAGGCTTCAATTCGTACCCTGGATATCCAGAGTGAACTCCTCTTCTAACATCGCGGATGGACCATCCAGAGATTCACTGGACGAAGTACGAGACCTTGGCGCTGAATGTTTTGTTTTCCCAATAGAAGTCTTTGACTTCATCATCAAGGAATTTCTCAGAAAACTTGAAGGTTCATAACAATCAAATTTACGAGGATGGGATGGTGTTCAGATTTGATTCTTATGACAAGACATGTTCACTATTACAAATCTTTACTTTGATTCTTCACCTTAATGTTGGTTTTCATATTCGATTCTGAAACAACTTCTGTTTTGAAGTTCCCACCTGACATCTGATCCTCAAAACTGGTAGCCCAGATTAATTTCGAATATGTTTCATTGAATTCAACTGATGACTCGTTTCCCCATCGTGGTTAAAAAAGAAGGACGCGCGGTGTCAGATTTGTCTTGGTGTGAGTTGATTGAAAGATGAATCCTTCCCTTTTATTTACTTTGGTCTTGAATTTCTTGAGCCTCGAAGATTTATAATAAGAACTATTTCTAACATCGTTAGACATATCTTTATTTTAAATCTGTGAGATCGGAAATTCCCTTAAACTTATTTTATTTCCATGGCCATGGCTCAAGAAATTTCAAGAACCAAACATTGATCTCTTACATTTGCAGTGAAAATTTTTCTCCCTCCCTCCTCACCCTCTTCTTTTGTTCTTCTTGCCAGGTATGGATACTCTGAGCGAGACTCTTCGTGAATGGCTTTCGATGCACATCGATAATGGTCAACGACTCGTTCGTCTTCTCAATATCATTTGTTTCCTTCTTGAGAACATCTTCGACAGTTTCACAGGCCGCCATTGGGCCTTTCTTTGTTCAGTCATCCATTGTTCATTTTCTGGACATTTTGAACCAGTTTCCAGCTTCTTTGTCGATCACCCTTCTACCTCCGTTTTCCTCTTCGCAAATTCTCTTCTCCCTCCGGACCTTGATCAATTCATTTCAAATTTATCCTTTCTGAACTGTTTAATTCGCGAACTCATTTCCTTTCACCAATTCAAGAGGCTCCCCAATCCGGAGCTCCTAGTTTCCCCCTTGTTTGCAGCAGCTGACTGTCTTTCAGTCGCCATGCTAGCCAAATTCGTGAAATCAGTACCTGTTTTGCTTCCGCAATCTCAATTTGAAGACGATGTATCGTTTTCTCCAGAATTCAGTCTCATTACAGAGATTGACTCTGAATCGCAACCTGATCAACTAGAAGTTGATCCTGATGAAGCTGCTCATATCCAACAACAATATGAAGATCATCTTGCTCAACAAAATGACCAAGATGCATTTGATTTTGAACAATTTTATTCTGGCTATCAAGGAATGTTTTGGGATGAATTGGATGGGAACTAATACGGATGGTGTTCAGATTTGATTCTTATGACAAGACATGTTCACAGGGATGGTGTTCAGATTTGATTCTTATGACAAGACATGTTCACTATTACAAATCTTTACTTTGATTCTTCACCTTAATGTTGGTTTTCATATTCGATTCTGAAACAACTTCTGTTTTGAAGTTCCCACCTGACATCTGATCCTCAAAACTGGTAGCCCAGATTAATTTCGAATATGTTTCATTGAATTCAACTGATGACTCGTTTCCCCATCGTGGTAAAAAAAGAAGGACGCGCGGTGTCAGATTTGTCTTGGTGTGAGTTGATTGAAAGATGAATCTTTCCCTTTTATTTACTTTGGTCTTGAATTTCTTGAGCCTCAAAGATTTATAATAATATGAGCCGAGCAGCAGTGACTCGGACGACAGTGACGAGGCCCCTTTTGGTTTGCCCTCGGAATCCAGCCTCTTGTGGCACTTGGTCATGCCCGACTTGAGACCAGGTTTCTTGGAAGTTCCTGAAGGGACTGGTGTACAGGAACACCGTGTCCGGAGTTCAGCACTTGAAGAAGGCAGGTGGTCTGAAGTTCATGTGTGGTCGGAGGCAGAACGACCGCTACTCCTTCTATGCTGGGAAGCCTGTCAAAGGTGTCGCACTGTGCGATCACTGTATGAGCAGCAAAGAGGTTCAGGCTGCTGGCCATGAGTAGTTTTCGATTTCATGCATGTTTTTCTCGAGAGATGTTTTATTGTAAACAGTTTGGCAACCAAATGTTCTCATTGCTCAACCTGTTTTTCCGAGAGATTTCCTGATGTCGTCTTGTTTTGTTGTTGCACTAGCTCATTGGCCAGTCATCACACCCGCTGGACGTTGCAATGTGCGACGACTCAGGGGTAGGGCGACTCATGTAGGCTTTTGAGGGTTGTCAATGTGACAGCCGACACCGGCCGATGTTGCCGGGTGACATATGTGTCAGGCATCAGAACTGCGCCTCGATGTGAGGGAACAAAAGATTGGAGTGTGGCCAGTCTTGTTCAGCGCAAAGATGTAAGTGGAGTGCTGCATGTTGCATGATGTGGAAACCACTTGATTGAGATGACAAGTCATTTAATTTTTCGATGAACCGGTTGGCTCCAGCTGGGAAATTTGTATCCCGCATATGTATGAGACTGCGACGGGTTTTGTTTTTATTTGTGGCATGAGAGATCCAGCACCTTTTTCATAGCACGGTCAGCACAGTTTATCAGAGCTATTTGCGAATTTTTCACATGTGGAGGGTTTTGACATTTGTGCGCATGCTGCATGTGGCTGCACACAAATAACATGAGTTTAACCATGCATGAACCTGCATCGTTCGATATGTTGACGTGTGAGTTTTAATCAACGCGTGAGTGGCTTTGACGCGATGGCAGGTTATGCTGAGTCTAACGCAAGTTTTAGACACAGAGCGAAACAGATTCAGCTGACAGACGATCATGTTCAGGCATTGCATGACAATGACATCAGGTGTTTCAATCATATGGCCTTTGCAGTGAATGGGCAGCCAGGACAACTGGATCAGGAACGTTTTCAGAATCTGGTGGACATAGTGTGCCCTCGAGGTGCGTCAATGGGAGTTCAGGCGAGCATTAAACAGCTGGCATATGAAGCTCTCACCATTGCAGTTGCGGCCATAAAGCAACGCGTCGAGACCCCAGATGAGGCTGCAAAGAAACTTCCACCTCAGGAAAAAGACCAGAGACTGCAGACCATCAAACGGAAGATCACAGGTTTTGACATCAGTGGTGAATACGAGCCTGGTCATTGTGTCATAGATGCTTTTGCTGGCATGTTGGATGAAGGAGTTTTGAAATTTTTTCCTCTTAGCAAATGTGTGTCGCGAGAGCAGGAACTGCAAGCTGTCAGGGCCGACAAGCAGGTGGTCATGTTGGAAAACCAACAATTGCAGGTCAAGGCAAGAGGTGCCGAGCTTACGACGGACCTCGGGAATGAGCTCAGAATTCATCATGCTTTTATTAGACGCGGCATTGCACTGGACATGGCGAACCTTGCAAGCTATCATGTTCATGAGAAAGTCATGCGTGAGTTCATGAGCCACCTCACGCGCACTGCTCCTCATGGATTCAAAGGCCCGACAATTGAATCAGTTTTGAGGGCAGACAGGGAGCTTTGGACACGGGTTGCAGACAAGGTCAGGTCGAACCTTAGGCCAGACAAAAACGATGTTTTACCTGTTGATGCTGCCTTGGAAGAACTGTACACATCAGCATCGGTCGTTTTTCATTTGCTGCCTTTGCCTGCTGCAAGTGGATCCAATCAGAACCTGAAACGCAAGACACCTGAGGAAGAGGCTACCAAGAAACCTCAGCCGACAGGTGATGCAGCAGCTGGCAACAAGAACCGCAGAGGCAAGCGCAACAGGCAGGGCAGGACAAACTTGCCCACAGGGTTACATGGTTACAGTGGTTGGAACAAGCAGAAGCAGAGGATTTGTTACAACTACAACATGGTGCATGGATGTTCAAACACAGTCTCAAAGGATGGCAGTGTTGACAAGTGCAACCGTGGCACTCACCAATGCATCAAGTGCCATGGGAAGCACAGTTTGACGCAATGCAACAACTGAAAGCCGTGTGTCCTGCCGAGCGAGTCGACAGATAAAAAGCTGTCATTTTCCGAATTTTTCATTGTAGAGGTTTTTTGTGGCAAGGCAGGACTGTCTCGAGCACTACGCCGAAAGGGTTTTCAGGTTTTCTCCATCGATCACAAGGCAGTCAAGGGACTTCCAATTTTGGTGATTGATCTGAATTCAGATGCGCAGTTGAAAATTTTTGAGGAGCTTTTGGAGCAGCGAAGACTGCTTTATGTGCATTTTGCACCACCTTGCGGAACAGCTTCAATGGCGCGAGCCATCAAATTGGGACTGCGGCATGAACCACAACCACTGCGCAGTTTGAAACATCCAATGGGCATACCAGGCCTCAAGCATGTGCAGCGCGAACGCGTCAGACTGGCCAACAGGCTGTACAAACTCACCAAAAAGTTTGTGGCAATCCTTCATGAGAGAGGAGTTGGGTGGTCAGTTGAAAACCCAGCAAGTAGTTTGATGTGGATTACAACACCATTTGTGGAGTTGATGGAATCCCTGGGATCAGACATTCACGGTGTCCTTTTTCATACATGTATGTTTGGTGCAGCACGCAAGAAGCAGACAGCACTGTGGACCAACATAGAGGAGCTGCTTCAGTTGAACCGTGTTTGCTCTGGCGATCACACACATGCGGCTTGGGGCATCACTGCGGATGGCAATTTTGCGACATCAGATGAGTGCGCCTACAACAGTGAGTTGTGTGCGCATTGGGCTGCAGCCATTGAAAACTATGCTCTAAACAAAGGCCTGCAGCCTGTACCTGACACTTTGGATGAAGTGGGCCCACAAAATCTGCAGTTGCGCGACACAGCCAACAAGGCGATTCTTGGGGCCCTGCCACGAGGCAGTAAACTCCCACCTCTTTTGTCAGATTTTTTGCATGAGGTTATTGTGCCAGTGGCCCAACACTCCTTCTTACAGCATGCAAAGCCGGGAGCCCGCATAGCTGACAACAATGTTTTTCCAAAAGGTGCGCGGCTGCTACAAGTGTGGAATGCTCAGAAGGGGGTTGAAGTGGAAGTGGAACCAAATGAAACAGGCAATGGCAATGACGTTTTGGAAACGTCTCCTACCAGTGCGTTGATGGCACGGGTGGGTGTGCCGGTTGAACCTCTTGAATACGTTGCTTGGGCGGTGAAGTTGGTTCACCCCAATCTGCAAAGGGTGAAATTACCTGTACACCTTGAGAAAGCCATAGCCATGTGTGGGCCTGGCATGTCCATTGAGCTGCGGCGTGTCAGGATACAATGGACCAAGTTGATGGTGAAGTTGATGGAGGAGACCCGAGCCATTGAAGAGGAGCTCATTGGAATCAGGCCCAGTCACTTGATGACAGTCTTGAAGGGCAAGCGTTTTGGCTTGCTCCATGCTGCGCTTGAGAGCTGCGGGTACCCTGACTCGAATGTGGCACTGGAAGCTAGTGTTGGTTTCCCTTTGGTTGGATGGATGCGTTGTGCAGGTGTTTTTGCAGCCCATGTGAGGCCCCCCGAACTTCATGTTTCTGCTCTCGACACTATGGCTGCATCTTACTCAGCTCGAACAGTGGCAAGCGTCAAGCCTTCTAGTGATCCCGACTTGGACACTCAAGTTTGGGAGGCCACACTTGCAGAAGTGGCAGGTGGGACGCTGGATGGCCCTTACGACGTTTCAGAGCTGCCAGCTGGACATGTGGTGTCACCACGTTTTGGCATCCGGCAGGGCCAGAAGACTCGACCCATTGACAACATGAGCGTGTCAGGCATAAACAGCACAGTGGGCCTTCCAGAAAAACTTCAGGTTGACACCATTGACGAAGTGGCCGCTATGGTGAAGCGCTGCATGCAACTTCATGGCAGTTCTTGCCACTTAGTTGGGCGCACCTACGACTCGAAGCGGGCATACCGCCAATTGGGGGTGTCCGAGGATCATTTCCGTTTTTCTTGGATAGCTGTTTGGTCTACGGATCACAAAGAGGTCAAACTTTTCAGAATGAAGGGGCTACCCTTCGGAGGGACCGCATCGGTCGCATCATTCCTAAGAATGTCTAAAGCCTTGAAAGAGCTTGGGATTCTAGGAGCATCTCTTGTCTGGTCGTCCTTTTTCGATGACTTCGTCTGCGTCAGCAGACCTGAGGACATGATTAGCGCTGATATGATTGTGCGATTCCTTTTCCGGTCCACAGGCTGGGTACTCTCTGAAGATCCTGAGAAGGATGTTGGCTTCAAGCCGTGCTTTGCGGCGCTGGGCGTTGAGTTTGACTTGAGCTCTGTGCACGAGGGAACATTGCGTATTGGGAACACAGCCAAGCGCAAGGCTGAGCTGCGGACTATGGTCGAGAAACACTTGGCCGACAACTCTCTCAGTGCCGATGACTCAGAGCGGCTCCGCTCCAGGCTCATGTTTGCAGAGTCGCAGATCTTCGGGCGGTCTTCCAAGTTGGCTTTGCGGGCCATTGGGTTACCCGCTGTCAAAGGGGTGACGTGTGCGCCTTTGACTGATGACGTGAAGTTCGGTCTCCAGTGGATGTTACAAAGATTGGTGGACTCGCCACCTAGAGAGATACGTGCGCAAGATGGGGGCACACTTTTTCTCTTCTTGGACGGAGCCTGCGAGCCTGCCTCCAACGCCGACGAGGGCCTGATCACTTCGGTAGGCGCAGTACTGGTGAATGAGTGTGGTCAAGGATTGCACTTTTTTGGATTGCGATTGCCCAGGGAGGTGACGGGACCATGGTCCGGAGGCAGCAAGGAGAATCTTGTTTTTGAAGCGGAGGTGCTGCCCTACACCCTGGCGTTGGCATGCTGGGGCGAGACACTAAAGGGCAAACATGTCTTGGTCTTCATAGACAATGATGGTGCCCGGCATAGCTGGATTCGAGGCACGGCAGATTCTTTTTACGCTCGGGCCATGATTCACAGTGGAACCCTTCTTGAGTCCGAGTTGGATGTGTCGACTTACTTTTGCAGGGTTCCGACCCATAGTAACCTTGCGGACGGACCTTCCCGTCTCGATTTCAGTTTGTGCTGGAAAATTGGAGCAGTGGAGACAGTGGTAGACACCGCAGTCTTGTGCCGTTACGC